CTTTATGTCGTCATACGGGGAAAGGTTACCTCCCCTTTCTCTGCTTTGCCCACCCAGAGAATTTGGCCCGCCCATGAGAAAATGAGTTACTACCATGCGAGGCGAGCGCAATATTTTTTTTTTCTCGAGAGACATCATGGCTTGCAAACGAGCGATGCATGGCAGTTGCCCCGCCTCTCTCCTCCTCATTAGCATTTAAAGCTACAGACACAGAAATGGCATGTCCTAAGGAAAGCTCATTGTGGGACTGGCTCGTAGTGGCTGAAATTCTGCACCAAGGCTGAATTTCGGGAAAGAGACTTCAGATACAGTACTAGGGACCACTTAGGCCTATATAAAAGCATCTAAAAAGCAGCATGTCATGGGACCTTTAAACTTTGTATATAAAATTGTATATTTGATTGTAGGTTCGATGCGTTTCATGGTGAACAGACCACGCAGCAGGAGGTGTTTCTGACCTCTGTCAAGCCCATTCTCCCCCACATCCTTAATGGTCAGAACGCCAGTGTCTTTGCCTATGGACCCACCGGAGCAGGTATGACTACTTTCTGTGTGCCGACTTTTCCTTTGCAGGTGATATTCCTATTTAGGGGTAGGGCTGTGACGGTCGCCGTGACAACCGCGTCACCACGGTGGTCGCTTGCCACCGGCGGTAGTGCACGTGACGTCACACACTCTATAACAAGCATAATACGAAGTTTTGTATACAAGTGTAATAACAGTAGCGGAACAGTGAACCGTGTCTACACCGGACACGACACCACCGCGTCGCAACAGGTTGAGTCGGTCTAGTGTCTACACGGGACATTTGAACTCTGTGTCAGTACCTCAAAAATAGAATGAGGCCGTTTACTGTCGGGGATTTGTCGTGTCGTACCGCATCCAGTGTAGCATCACTGATTATAATGAGTTTTATAGTATTTTGTTGCGCAGCTCGCGTCCTGTAGACAGGGTGCACTGCAAAAAAAATGTATATCTTAGTGTTTTTGTCTTGTTTCCAGTCAAAATATCTAAAAATTCTTAAATCAAGATACTTTTACTTGATAAGCAAAATGACATAAGATGTTTAGGCTTGTTTCCAGTGGGAAAAAACTAAATTAAGTGCGTTTTGCTTAAAACAAGTTAAATTATCTGCCAGTGGGGTAAGTAAAATTTTATTTAAAAAAGTGTATTTTACTTACCCCACTGGCAGATAATTTAACTTGTTTTAAGCAAAACGCACTTAATTTAGTTTTTTCCCACTGGAAACAAGCCTAAACATCTTATGTCATTTTGCTTATCAAGTAAAAGTATCTATTATCTGCCAGTGGGGTAAGTAAAATACACTTTTTTAAATAAAATTTTACTTACCCCACTGGCAGATAATTTAACTTGTTTTAAGCAAAATGCACTTAGTTTAGTTTTTTCCCCCTGGAAACAAGACTACATATCTTATGTCATTTTGCTTATCAAGTCAAAGTTTTTTTTAGATATTTTGACTAGAAACAAGACAAAAATACTAAGTAAGATATGCCATTTTTTGCAGTGTATTTAACTTTCTTATTTAGGCTACTTTCTTGTTTAACTGTATTTCTTTGATATTTATTTTAGTGTTTTGCAGGCTGCGTATTCACTGACTGAAGTGCTCAAATAAACACAAGCTGACGAGTTAAATTGATAGATGATAATAGATGAGTGAGACAGTGCTGGGCTGCTCCAGGACAGTTTTGAAAACCATTTCAGAGACTTAAATGTGACTCATATAAAATATATTACATGCATGCTCAGTTTTAAGGCAGCTTTAATAGCCTTTTTGGTAACTTCATGACTTAAAGGGGTAGTTCACCCAAAAATGAAAATTTGATGTTTATCTGCTTACCCCCAGGGCATCCGAGATGTAGGTGACTTTGTTTCTTCAGTAGAACACATATGAGGATTTTTAACTTTAACCGTTGCTGTCTATCAGTCGTATAATGCATGGCAATGGTAACAAAATGTATGAGAGTAAAAAACACATGCACAGACAAATCCAAATTAAACCCTGCGGCCCGCGACGACACATTGATGTCCTAAGACACGAAACGATCGGTTTGTGCCAGAAACCGAACCGTATTTATATAATTTTTTACCTCTAATACACCACTATGTCCAACTATCTTAGGGCGCGCGCACGGCATCCGGAGCGTGAGGTGAGTATGCGCGCTGACGTTTTTGAACGAATGGAGTGAGTCAATGATTCAGTAACCCAATTCATAAGGACAGTCACTTTCTGAATGAATCATCCGTTTGAATGAATCGGTTGAATGAATAAATGACTCGCACATTAAAACACATTTGCCGACACGTACTGGTGGTTTAGTCATATTTAAAAGTATCATTGCATTTTTTCAACATTTATTTGTTTAAAAAACTATGTAAAACATTAATCTTATAAAGTTATTTATGCATTTGAAATTTTGCAGTGTAAATGCATTTATGGCACCTCAGCTTCATCAAACTCTGTGTAAATGCATCTAATGCCACTTCAGTGACTCATTTTAAGTTAAATATTTCTTTCCAGTCACAAAGCACTTTACTTTGAGAGTTGTTTAAGTGAGAAAATCTGTTACTTAGTCCAGATTGGGGGAATTGTAATGTTTAATAATTTCTTTGTAAATCATTTTTGCATCGAAATTTGCATAGATTTTTGTTTGTATTTGCTGTCAATTATAGTTCTTAGAAAGAAAATCGGAATCGGCAAAAATCGGTATCGGCGGCAGGTCACACTTCCAAAAAAATCGGAAATTAGAATCGGCCAAGGAAATTGCAATCGGTGCATCTCTAATTGTTTTGCGGAGCTCAGCGTTTTGCTTTTTGTGATTTTAAAAGACAAATATTTTGTCATTGAAAGTTTTTTAATTCAAATATTGTCTCATTGTAGTGAACCAAGTATCTGTATTTTATCTCTTCTCGTGTGCTAAGTGTATTGTCACACCTCTAGCTCTAGCATCCATGAACGTGATATAGCTCATCATTTTCTAAGTGTATGATGAAGCTTTTACTCTTCAGGTTATTCATATTTGTAAAAAAATCACTTTGAATAAGGAAATTGATAACTTTGCCATAGTATCCTCTCAAAAGTTAAAGTTGCCACAGTCATTGCGTGCTTTGCATGTGCTGCACGTTTTGTTTTCTTCGTTTATTTATTAGAATTTAAAAGATAATAACGATATTGTGATTTCTGATTTTAGTCCTTGAAAACCAAAAAGTAGTGCTCAAAGTCCTTGAAAATCCTGGAATTGTACGAACCCTGTGTGTGACTGGGGATCGTTTTGACTGCATTGTCATGTGTCCGCAAAACACTTTAAAAAAAAAAAAAAAAGGAAATTGTCAATATTTTCATACATAATTCTTATGTAAACGTATCTTTAGATTTCTTTAACCGAATTTAAAAGATAATAACGATATTGTGATTTCTGATTTTAGTCCTTGAAAACCAAAAAGTAGTGCTCAAAGTCCTTGAAAATCCTGGAATTGTACGAACCCTGTGTGTGACTGGGGATCGTTTTGACTGCATTGTCATGTGTCCGCAAAACACTTAAAAAAAAAAACGCAAAGGAAATTGTCAATATTTTCATACATAATTCTTATGTAAACGTATCTTTAGATTTCTTTAACTGCCTTCTTGAGTAACTTATTTTTAGATTATGAAGTGCCATAATATAGTCCATTCACAGTCTAAACTTTTTCTTATTCCTTCCTTCAGGAAAGACCCACACCATGCTCGGCAGTCAAGAGCAGCCGGGCATTATTCCCAGAGCTGTCAAGGAGGTCTTCAAGCTGGTTGACGTTCAGGAAAAGGAGCAGGATGGTTGGGAATACTCAGTTGGGATGTCTTACCTTGAGATCTACAATGAAAAGGTAATATGTTTTGAAAAATCATTTATTTCTGTGGGTTTTCACTAGCCATTACTCCAATCTTCAGTGTCACATGATCCTTCAGAAATCATTCTAACATGCTGATTTGCTGCTTTAGAAACACCTTATCAGTTGTTTAAAAGTTTTTACTGGATATTAAAAAAATGTAAAATCTTTTTTTCAGGATTCTTTAAATGTGAAAGCTCAAAAGAACAGCATTTGTTTGAAATATAATTTTTCTTTTTTTTTTTTAGCCTTAATTTTTTTTTACTGTCATATTCTTGTGAAATATAAGTATTAATCAAAAAATCCTTTGAATGGTAGTGCAAGTATAAAGGCCCGTCCACACCAAGCATAACGTTAAAGATCTAGTTCTAAAAATCGTTCTCACTATTAAAGAATAGCAGAGTCCACACCACAACTATAACGATAAAGACAAAGAGAAACGATATCGTTGGAATCACTTTCAAAAGATTTTTTTCCAGCTGATGAACGATAAAAAATTTACAACCAATCAGAATCCACCCTGCTGTAACGAGCTTGAGAATTTAAAGCAGCAGATGAGCGTGCGCTAAGAATAAACAGACGATATCGTTCGCTTGTGTGGACGCTAATATCGTTATCGGTCTTGGTGTGAACGGGGCTTTAGTGTTTGTGGGCAGCTGTTCTGGAATATTGAAGGACTTTGTATCTGTAGGTGCTGGACCTGTTGTCCCCAGGTTCCCAGGACCTGCCCATCCGTGAAGACAAGGACAGAAACATCCTCATTCCCGGGCTAACACGCACACCGCTTTTATCCTTTACCGATTTCGACACTCATTTTATCCCCGCAAGTCTAAACCGCACCACGGCCTCTACTAAACTCAACCAGCGTTCCAGCCGCAGTCACGCTATCCTCCTCATAAAGGTTTGAGCACGCACACGTCTCTTCATTCTAGTTCTCCATTAGCACTTTAACAGGTCCTGGTCTCTGTGTGGTAGACCATGATTTGGTAGCTGGTGCTGAAATTAAATCTCTCCATCAAACAAATACCACTGCTGCTTACAGTGTCTGCTGGTTGTCTTTGGGAGAGAGAACACAACACTCATGGTAACATTGTATATGTAGGGCCTTATGATTTCTGCGATGTGGAGTCCAGTTATAAAAATTGATTTTTTTGGGATCACATTTTATTGGCCACTTTTATAAAAATTGTAATTAAGCATTAAAACAATCCCGAAAAATTCAGAAGGATTTTGTGAAAAAATAAAACTGATTTCATTGGGCCCTATAAAGTGACCGGCTCTCTGCAAAAGACTAATAATGACATAAATGCATATGTTTGCTCTCAGGTAGTGAAGTCTCAGCGTGGGCCGCCACACAGACAACAAACAGGCAAGCTGTATTTAGTTGACCTGGCAGGTTCAGAAGACAACCGGCGCACAGGAAACCAGGGCATCCGTCTGAAAGAGAGCGGGGCCATCAACCTGTCCCTCTTCACCCTCAGTAAAGTGGTGGATGCTCTGAACGCAGGGGCCGGGGGCCGCGTGCCCTACAGAGACAGTAAACTGACCCGTCTGCTGCAGGACTCTCTGGGTGGTTCGGCCCATTCCGTCATGATCACAAACATAGCACCGGAGTACAGATACTACTTTGACACCTTCTCGGCCCTTAATTTCGCCGCCAAGTCTAAGCAGATTGTCAATCGGCCCTTTGTCAGGGAAACCGTTTTGGCTCCTACGATTGGTAAGCAGTGCAGTTTTATGTGTGTTTTTTTTTTTTCTATTTGTTAATAATAAGGTATGTAATGATGATAATTTTATCCCTTCACTCTTAGCTCCTGTAAAGAGAGCCAGAGAGGAACGAGAGGCTGGAGGTTCTGGTGAGCTCCAGAACAAAAAGTCTAAAGAGGGGAAGAAAGCTGAACGGTCCTCGTCACCACCCGTACATCCACACAGGTAAGACTGCATGCGTTACAACAGATGAACTAATTAATTGATTGAGCACTTTAACAGGTCTTGGCTTTGTGCAGTAGGCCATGATTTGGTAGCTGGTGCTCAAAGGAAAACTCCCTATTGCAAAAACCACAGGCTGAATGTGCCTCACTGGACATGAAAAGGGAGGACATATGTGCTGGGTGATCAAGCTAAAGATATTTAAGTGTAAATTTCTATTTGTTTGCTGTGAATAGCTTTCAAATGAATTTCATTTTGCACTGGGGTTTGAGTTAACCCTCAAAGTAAAGCTAAACAACCTTAAAAGGTTAGTTCTCCCAAAAATGAAAATTCTGTCATTAATTACTTGCCCTCATCGTCGTTCCAAACCTGTAAGACCTTCGTTCATCTTCGGAACACAAATTAAGATATTTTTGATGAAATCCGTGAGCTCTCTGAGCCTCCATAGACCGCAACACAACTGCAATGTTCCCAGGTCCAGAAACGTAGCAAGGACATCGGAAGCTACGAGAATACTTTTTGTGCACAAAGAAAACAAAAATAATGGCTTTAAATGTGCCTCACTGGACATGAATAGGGAGGACATATGTGCTGGGTGATCAAGCTAAAGATATTTAAGTGTAAATTTCTATTTGTTTTAGGGATGCACCGATATGAAAATTTTGGCCGATACCGATAACCGATTATTCTTTATTTTTGAAAGCCGATAACCGATATGTTGGCCGATAAATCTATATCCAAATTGTTATATACTTTTTCTTCTCCTTATGAGTTATGATGCATGCGCTTGCTTCTGCTTCATATAAACAACACATGCGCATGGTGCTGCTGCTTGCTTAACATGCAAATGCTTCAGCACACGCATGTTGTTTACATTTTGGGTGAACTATCTCTTTAAAGCTGCAGTCTTTAACTTTTATTTGTATGCAAAATGTATATAATAAGCAAAGTATCATGATTTCCACATATTAAACGGCACAATGTTTTTTCTTTTTTGTCTTTCGACATCGATTAAAGGGGTCATATGATGTTGCTAAAAAGAACATTATTTTGTGTATTTGGTGTAATTAAATGTTTATGCGGTTTAAGGTTAAAAAAACACATTATTTTCCACATACTGTACATTATTGTTTCTCCTGCAACACAACTGCAATGTTCCCAGGTCCAGAAACGTAGCAAGGACATCGGAAGCTACGAGAATACTTTTTGTGCACAAAGAAAACAAAAATAATGGCTTTATTCAACGATTCTTCTCCTTATGAGTTATGATGCATGTGCTTGCTTCTGCTTCATATAAACAACACATGCGCATGGTGCTGCTGCTTGCGTAACATGCAAATGCTTCAGCACACGCATGTGGTGTTTACATTTTGGGTGAACTATCTCTTTAAAGCTGCAGTCTTTAACTTTTATTTGTATGCAAAATGTATATAATAAGCAAAGTATCATGATTTCCACATATTAAACGGAACAATGTTTTTTCTTTTTTGTCTTTCGACATCGATTAAAGGGGTCATATGATGTTGCTAAAAAGAACATTATTTTGTGTATTTGGTGTAATTATAAAAAACCCCTTTAAAAATGTTTCTTGAACAATAATAAATGGTGGGATTTTATAGTTAAATAATTTTAGTTTTTCCTTCACGGCATTGCTTAATTTTACATGTAAATCTCTTGTCTACCTGTCTCTCCCTCTCTATATGTGTGTATGTGTATATATAAATCTGGCAGGTGTACATGTGTTAAAAGTTTAAATGTCTTTCAGTTCACCAGATTCATCAGTTCTGGACAGACTTCTGGCCCTGGAGAAGATGATGATGGGCTCGGCTGAAAGGGAGAGACTCAACTTGCTCAAAACTGTAGCACAGTCCCGTAAGGAAATACAGGTATCGTACACGCTCTTTGAGCATTTGGTTCTGTTGCTTGATCAGAACAACATTTCTATCTTTATTTCAATTAGGGCTCTCAAATGGATTTATTGTAATTAATCACATTCAAAATAAAAGTTTGTTTGCATACGAAGTGTATACTGTGTATATTTATACTAGGGCTGTGCAATTATTCGCAATACGGTTTCGACTATATGTGTGTATGTGTATATATAAATCTGGCAGGTGTACATGTGCTAAAAGTTTAAATGTCTTTCAGTTCACCAGATTCATCAGTTCTGGACAGACTTCTGGCCCTGGAGAAGATGATGATGGGCTCGGCTGAAAGGGAGAGACTCAACTTGCTCAAAACTGTAGCACAGTCCCGTAAGGAAATACAGGTATCGTACACGCTCTTTGAGCATTTGGTTCTGTTGCTTGATCAGAACAACATTTCTATCTTTATTTCAATTAGGGCTCTCAAATGGATTTATTGTAATTAATCACATTCAAAATAAAAGTTTGTTTGCATACGAAGTGTATACTGTGTATATTTATACTAGGGCTGTGCAATTATTCGCAATACGGTTTCGATTTTGATTTCAGCCTTCAAAGATTATGAAAATACAATAATTATGTATTATATCTGTGGAAGATATCTGTGCCTGCACTCAGAGACGGAACACAACACGGACATGTAAAGTCATCTTTTAGCTCTAGGTGCACGCCTATACCATCAAATACCCACTAAAATGTGGAGCTTAGTGATTATTCACGTAAACTATAATCGATTATGTAATAAATGAACGTGAACAGTTGAGAATTAAAATACATGCGTAACAGTAAATTGGACTCTTAAAGTGACAGCGGGCTAATATTCCTGCTGTGTGCTTAACATTAATTCAACTACAAAAACCAGAGAAAATCACTTACTGCTCTGCTCTAAATTACTTTTGTAGCTTTAATAAGAAACAAAGAAGGGTTCATTTTTACATTGACGACTATGCTTGTTTATTTTACATTTGATTATTCATTTATTTCTGTAGTAGGCTAGGCTGTTAACAGAATACTTTAGACTTGCATTAAAAAAAAACTTAAAGCACAGTTTGTTTCATTTGTATATTTTTATTCTGTTGTATACCTTGTATAATTTATTCAGAGATCACCATGAAAATAGCCTTGATGCTGGCATAGCGTTAAAAAGTGAATAAATAAAAAATAATCGTGATTAATCGATTCGACAGCGCTAATTTCAATGCATTGCAAGAGGTGAAAAAAACTATTTTCTGTGGAAATAAGCAGCAGTGAAACAAACATTCCTCTTGCTTATAGTTAATCCATCATTTGGGCCGGATTGCAAATTAGGCCGGATTGCTAATACCAGTTGCAATCTGTACTGGAGTCCACATGAACCTAGTTTTCAAATGGTTTCAAAAACCACTTCCACATCAATTAATTGGTGATTTTAAATATGTTCTGCTGTCTTCCCATAGATGTTGAAGGAGAAACAGAAAGAGCTGGAGGACAAAGCAAGCATGCTTAACAAGCAGAATGAAACTGTTGAGAAAGAGTCCAAAGATGCACTTCTCTTTAAAACAGATCTGCCCCCACTGCACAGAAAACAGTCTACAGCCGCCAAACCACGCAAACAGCAGGCAGTTGTCACACCATTACAGGGTAGGATGTGGTTAATGTCATCCTTACAGTCCTCCTGGGACACTCTTTATGCATGAGAACCCAGTATTGATTAAAGTGGTTTAGTGTTTCATGATCCTTTGAAGATTCTTCCTTCTCTTTCTTCTCTGCCTGTTGAGTTGTGCTGTTAGTATGCTGTATGTTTCTGTGGTGGTGGTGGTGCTGCAGCTGCTGTGCTCTTCAAGGGATAGTTCATTCAAAAATGAAAATTCTGTCATTAATTACTAACCCTCATGTTGTTCCAAAACTGTAAGACTTCCGTTCATCTTCGGAACACAAATTAAGATATTTTAGATTTTTCAGCTGCGGCACATTGTTTACACTTTGATTTGAACGAAAACAACTTATCCGCCTGCCGCAGCTGACACAGAACAGCATACGCTGTTTACGTTGAGTGTTTTTTCTCCAAAATGGCGCTAGGGTGACGAGGAGACGAATTGTTGAAAGGTTTTTTTGTTCTTTTTTTTTTCTTTTGTGCACAAAGTATTATCGTAGCTTCGTAAAAATTACGGTTGAACCCCTGATGTCACATGGATTATTTTAACTAGAGCCTTACCGATATATCGTTTTGCCGATATGAGCCTGTTACCGATATATCGGTATCGGCGAATATGCCGCCGATATGAAATTTTTTTTTTTTTACAGAACAGATAATGCAGATAAAATGCTTGAAATGGTGTAATTACTTAGTTTGTCCAGCAGAGCGCGCTCTGCTGGACAATCCCGGTTCGTAAAAATTACGGTTGAACCCCTGATGTCACATGGATTATTTTAACTAGAGCCTTACCGATATATCGTTTTGCCGATATGAGCCTGTTACCGATATATCGGTATCGGCGAATATGCCGCCGATATGAAATTTTTTTTTTTTTACAGAACAGATAATGCAGATAAAATGCTTGAAATGGTGTAATTACTTAGTTTGTCCAGCAGAGCGCGCTCTGCTGGACAATCCCGGGGGGCTACCGACGTTCGAGAGGGCTCCTCGAGCTGAAGGGATCCCCCGAATTTGGTGGAGATCCGCCGGCGCGTTCGCGAGATAGTGACACCAGTCAACACTTTCACTTCAGTAAGGAGGTCTCTTGTTCAGGCAGCAGCATTCACGCGTTGTCTTATTCGACCGTAAGTGCCCTGCAAAGTGGACTTAACATGAAATTCCGCCATGATTCCAGTTCCAAGGGAATGTACATGTTACATTCAAAGGGCATTAAAGTGCGTGAGCCGTGAATTTATTTACAGAGGTAGGGGAGAGCGGGGCACAAAGTAACACTTTTTGACTTTCTCAGTTTGTGTAAATCCACATGGGGTTCAGAATATATATATATTTTACCCACAGTAATTTTACACTTGTCTAGTACAAATGTCGCTTTGTTTCATAATTGCAGTGTATAAGTTTTTCTTTTATTTACCCTCAAGAAATGTGACAACATGCCCTGTAGGTGGAACACATTGTAACATCTGAGGGGCACGTTGTAACTTGACCATATGACAGCTTAAAATCTTATCTGATCGAATGAAAAAAATATAAAAGACAAACTAAAATATTTTGATAAATATATATATATATTTTTTTATTATTTATTTATTTTTTTCAAATAAAATAATGGCGTTTTTTAAAAATTAAAAATCTGATTTTGGAGTTTGACAATGAACACATTGCAACCATACTTGGAACGGCCCACATAAACGAGCAAAAATGCTTTACGTGTCTTGAAATAATAATTTCTAAACAATAAACATTGACTGTCAGTCTTTATTCACCGGTTTCTCATTGTTTCTCATTAAAATTAATTAAAATAAATAGTGTAAATTACATCGCTAATGTCATAGAATAGCACATTGTAACAC